GTCTGCTTATCTTGGTCTGCATTGACTATATGTAACATTTTCTTGTGTTTGTGCGTAACTACTAATTTTCAATTATATTCTGGACATTGTAAGTAATATGTTGTAGAGACTTGGGATTCTGTTAAATTCTTACGAAGAGAATTGTTATTATTGGTGGCAGTGGTGTGGTGTGTGTGCTAAGCAGGCAATTTATTTGTCTGGACTCAGACTCTAAACTTCAAACCCAAACTCTTCTGCAGTGGGCAGCAGTTTGAATTGTCTTCACTTCTTTCAGTTTTAGCTGGGTTGCCTAGATTCAGTATCACACAGGGATAGTTTAGCAGTTAGTTGAAGATTTAGGTAAAGTTGATGTACTGAATTTGGACATCCTCCTCTCTGATTCTGTCCTTTTCAGGATATCCTCCTTACTTCCCAGCTACTATGGTTACCCTGAACTCTGGCTTCTAATTTTTCGAGCCTCTAAAGTTGGGTTTAGGAGCCTCTGGGTGGCACAGACAGTTCAGTGCTTGACTGCGAGCCAAAAGGTTGGTGATTCAAACCCATCCAGAGGCTGCTGGGCAGACAGACCTGGCAATCAGCCTCTGAAAGGTTACAGCCTTGAAAACACTATGGAGCAATTCTACTCTGCACACATGGGGTCACCATGAGTCAGAATCCACTTTATGGCAACCAGCAACAACAACAAGAAGATCTTTTAGCCACCCCACAGGCTAACTGGAACCTGTCCTTAAACTAAAACAGTAAAAACAGAGGACTCAACTCACTGTCATTCCCTTCTTCTAAGTGTAGACACTCTCCTTCCCGTTTACACCTGCTTTTGCCCACTCTCCAATGCTTTCCGGTGGTTGTTTTTTCACAATTTGTCTGAAGTTTATAGTTTTATCTACTAGAGGTTTAGTACAGTAGAAGCCATTCGCCATTATCAGAAGTAAAACCAGTGCCAAGATATAATTTTGTAACTGATAGTAAGTAAATTTAAATTTCTGCCTTCATTTCTGGTTGTCCCCTTTCATTTACAAAATCGCAGAGCTCATTGATTATTTATTAAGTGGAAATTAAATTATAGGAAATGTCCATATTGTAGTTTTAAAGACTTTGGGCTGTAGTACTCTCCAACTCAAAATGTTACCAAATGTTCTTCATGTGCTTGCTGTACAGAGTATGTAAGGAGTTGTGATTAATCTACTGATTATTCATACATAAAATAATTATTTCTATGTTTTTAGAAATTATTGAGTTTTTCCTTAACTATTTAAACATTTTTTTCCTAATCTTGTTGAGAACTATTAAGTTTAAGTTCCTTTACAGCAAAGATTTCCTAAATAAATTATTAGCCCAGTCCATGTCTAAATTCTCCTGAATTCCAAATTTGTGGCATCAGAATTAATAATGCCTCATTTCAAAGCCATTAATTATTTATCTGTTTTATTCACCCACATTTATTCACCAAGCACCTTACTGAGGGGACTGGATGTTGACAGAAGAGGGTGGTAATGACACAAATGTGAAAATATTTGTTGAGATGAAGACAATACTGGGCATACAACATTTTAGATTTAAAGGTTCCTTTCTAAAGAACTTGTTAGGCAAATTAAGAAGGTGTAGAAGTGCACATGGTAACTTCATTCATGCTAATGCTGGCAGCTGCTTAACCATAGCAGAGGAACCTGAAATTGGCATAGTTAAAATCTAATGACATTTTTCACAAAATTGAGTATTTTTATTTTTCTATAAGTTTACTTCATTTTTTTGGCAAGGATAACATTATTCAACCAGGCTGGCTTACTTGTGTCCATATCTTACAATAGCAGTCACAAGGTAGTTTCTAACTTGTGACTCCTATTTCTGTATTCTCAAATCCTGTCTGATTGCCATACCAGAGGGTCTAAAGAGATTTTGACCAAAGTATTATATAAAAACCCGTTGCCTTTGAGTCGATTCCAACTCATAGTGACTCTATAGGACAAAGTAGAACTGCCCGGTAGAATTTCCAAGAAGTGACTAGTGGATTTGAACTGCCAACCTTTTGGTTAGCGGCTGTAGCCCTTAACCACTGTGCCACCAGGGTTCCAAAGTATTATATACCAAAACAAAGTTTATTTGGGAAAGTAGAAGAGTAGAATCTTTATTGGACGTGGAGGAAAGAAGTGAGAAATAAATCCAATTTGCAGGGAGAAAGGAGTAACTTTAGGAGAATTCATAGAGAAACACATAGGAAGGACTCACCACCCACTTGCTATCCAGGATACTGGCCTCTTGATGTCTCTCTTCCATCTGTATTTCCTCGAGTTTCTACTGGAAGACTTACTTCAGATTCCAAGTCTAGCTAAGTATTTGCATGCATCTTTGCAATCATATAGAAAGCCTCATCCTACTTCACAAGCATCTGTTTACCAAGCAAGTGAATGAGTCTATATTTTAAAAAAACCTGTTGCCATCAAGTTGATTCCCACTTGTAGTGACCCTATAGGACAGAGTAGAACTTCCCCATAGGATTTCCAAGGAGCAGCTGGTGGATTTGAACTGCCAACCTTTTGGTTAACAGGCAAGCTCTTAACCACTGAGCCACCAGGGCCCTGAGTCTGGATTAGTCGTATGCATATATGGAGCAGAACTAACTCACAGAAAAGTCTTTATCTTCATCTGGGGACCTGATAATTGCATTTATTCTAAAGTGAAACAAAGTATTTGAAATAAGAATCAAGAAAGCGCTCAAAGAAACTCTGTGCAGTTTTATAGCAGTGCCAAAGTGAGGGGTTAAAATAACTTAATCCTTGTTATTGTGGGCACAGCAGATATGTTATTTAGGGTATTGTTGGAATGAAATTGAGAAAGATACTCTAGAGTAAATTTCTGTTTGGCTTATTTCAAATCTTGTTAAAATAATCAAGATCTTCTGTTTCATTTTATGTTTTAAGTCTTTTGTCATGTTCAGTTTGGATAATTAACAGATATTTCTTGTTTTTTAGGAATTTTAAAGCTATTTTACTAGTTTGCAATAGGAAATGCATGCACAAGGTACAAAAAGTAAAGTAAAAAATACAAAATATTCAAAAAAGTATACTTTCAAAAAATAGAGAATATAGACTACAGTGACAAGTATGTCTCTTTCCAACATGTCTTCCAGCCCCCCATTTTCCACCTAGGAGATGAGCACTGTTACTGGTTTTTGGTGTACCCTTGCAGAGATGCTTAAATGAATAGATAATGTTGAGTTTTTATTTTGTTTTGTTTTGTTTAAACAATTGTAACATAGTGCCACACAATTGAACATCTTGCTTTTTTTATGTAATATATCTTTCATGTAATATTTCATGTTATACATCCATAGAAGTATGTATGGAGCTGCCTCCTTCTTTTTAGCGGCTGCTGTGATTTCTGTTTCATTGAATGGATGTATTGTAATTTACTTAACCCGTCCCTCATTGATGAACATTTAGTTCATCAATTCAAACAGTGCTGCAGTGGATATTCTCATGCCATTTTTTACCTGTGTTATATATCTATAGGAGAAATTCTTAGAAGTGAAATGGCTGGGTCAAAGAGGTTGTGCATTTTCATTTTGATAAGATTTTGCCAAATTGAGATCCACAGAAGTAGTGCTAGTTATACCCCTACTAGGAATTATGAGAGTAATAATTGTAATAATTACCAGAAAAACAAATAATCTTAATTATGTGACTGTGAATGACTTCTAGGTCACAGTTATAGTAATACACAAGCTAAAATTTATTTCTCATGATTCTTCTAAGGTTGGTAACCTGGCATCTGGTGCCCAATGCATTTTGAAATGAATTAGCTTAGCATTTTAAGAATCTAGAGGTTCCATTTTTTTACCCTTAATTTAAATAATAGCCTAATACTATAAGTGCTTTGCATATATCAACTCATTTAATTTTTACAACAATTTTATGAAGCAGTTAGAATCATTATTCTAATTTTACAGATGAAGAAACTGAGGCACAGACATATTTCACAGCTTGGAGCTGGTAAATGATAGGGCTGAGATTTGAATACAGGTAGTCAGAAGCCAAAGAGCCCTGGTGGTGCAATGGTTAAGTACTTAGCTACTGACCAAAAGTTTGGGGTTCGAACCCAGCAGCGGCTCTGCAGGAGAAAAAACCTGGCGATCTGCTCCTGTAAAGATTATAACCTGGAAACTCTACGGAGCGGCTCTACTCTGTCATATAGGGTCACTATGAGTCGGAATCCACTCAATGCATGTTAACAACAGTCAGAAGCCAGAGCCACTGCTAGACTGTGAGATATCTTGCCCTTATTGAGCATTTTAATATTTAAGAAAATCATGCTTTACACACACACACACACACATACACACACATACGTATCTATCATTTCTTGAGTTGGTGTCCATAGTCTCATTGCAAATAATCTTTCTTGTGTCTTTCTGTACTTTCAAGCCTACCTTTTACAGATAAGGCAGAGTAAAATAGAAAGTCTCCCCCTCCCAGGACACCTAGAAAATTAGGAACCAAGTTGAAATGGTCTTTTATGACAGTCCCCAATATTATAAATAAATACACAGCAACTTTACATTTTTCATTTTAAAATCAATGGCTCTCAAGTTATTTCAGAAATATGCCCAAGAAGCTCACAGGAAACATTTATAATAATAAATGTTTAAAAAAAAATTTTTTTTTTTTTTAAATACCTTCTTGTGGTTCTGCCAGCAAGCCCCTGTGAATTTTCATCTGCATGTAAGTGACTATATTCTCCTGTATCTTGAAATACAGACCTAGGTGAAATATTGTCGGCATAAAAATTGCATTTGGTAGGTCTGCTAGGAAGGGGTCATGTAAAAGTCATCTTTGATTTGTTAATGGAACTTTTTTTTTTTAGATGTAGCGTATGGCAGCAGTGATGTGCGTCCTGAGGGGAAAAATGGTCCGTTTTATAAAGGTTTATTGTCATATTTTATACACTGCAGTTCCATTGTGTGTTTTTGATTTAGTAACAATTGATGTGTTTTTCTGTCACAGAGCACCGTGGCCTGTGGTGTTGAGGCTCACAGCGATGCCCTCCAGCCCTGCCACATCAGAGAGGCCGTTCGACGCTATGGCCACAAGATTGGCCCTCTTTCCCCATTCACAGTACGTAATAACAGAGTTATAAAAAGTTATATTTATAATCTGAAAGAATTTTGATTTTCAAGTGGTCAAATGAAGAAGCAATGGAATTGTTGAAAGCAATTTGTGGCAACCGTAATTTTGTTGTATAAAAGTGGCATAATTCTCTTGGGAAATAAAAGTTAGTCATTTTTGTCTCTTTTTGGAAGGACAGATTTTTTTTCAACAAAATATTATTTTCTTTCAATTACAAATTATGCTTTTTTGTTGGGGCTTATATTTTCTATTTTTCAAAGCTTGGGTTTATAAAACTTTTTTGTCAAATTATATGTATCCAAATATTGCTAGAAGCACTTTATATTCTAAAATTGGTTAGATTGGCAATACCACTTCTGTCAGATGTCCTGCTCCTAAACATACTTTGAGTTGGAAGAAGAAGAAATGATTTCGTTACTGGCTTTGAACTAGCCTGAAATGTAGACAGTCTTGCACATCTTCAAATGATTTGAAAGCTTGTAATCAGGCTCTTTTTTTTAAATTGGGAATTAAAGCCTTGATATTTTAACACTAAAGAAAGTGTGTGTGAGTGTGTGTGTGTGTGTGTGTGTGTGTGTTTAAATTAGATAGTTATAGTCTTTCCCTTTTTTTAATCTTCTTGTTACTAAGAATTTCTCCAAGTCCTTCTCTGTTTGTAAGGAATTGGTTTGATTTTCAGTAAGTGAGGCTTAATTTACATAACTGAGGAAAAGTAGAATTTACTCTTTTTTGATATTCACTTCTGCTTTCGCATATTAAAGCAGAATGTATATTAGTACATATTATGCATAAATAAATAAATATAAATAACATAGCATACATTTTTCATAAGAGTGGATTTTACTATTACCTGTTCCTAGAACTCATGATGTTTTCTAAATTACATCATCTCCTTTTCTTCCCCCCATCTGTTGGTTGGTTAAAGGGAAAGCTTTCTTTTCATTCTTTGTTCTTATTATTGTCTGCTGTCTAGGCAATTCCAACTCACAGTGGCCCTATAGGACAGAGTCGGACTGCCCCATAGGGTTTCCTAGGCTGTAGTCTTTACGGGAGCAGACGGCCAGATCTTTTCTTCATCTGAACGGCTAGTAGGTTTGAACCCTCTGACTTTTCGGTTAGCAGCTGAGCACTTTAACCATTGTGCCACCAGGGCTCCTTTTGTTCTCCTTAGGTGTTAATTTTATGGATTCTCAGTGTAACAACAAGAACGTGCTTTTATATTTGTCTCCAGAAGGTTTTTGTTAACAGTGACTATTATTTTTACCTTTGTTTAAATTTAAAAATTGTCTTGTATGTCATAAGAACATGATTCTAATACTGTTGATTAAAACTATATATCATTTTACCTGAGTGCTTTTAGATTCTTAAAATTGAAAAGAAAGAATGAAATCAAGTATCCCATTTTTATTTTATTGTATTTTTCTACATGATAGGTGAGGCTGTTTTAAGCAGATATGCCAAAAAGATGAGATTTTTTAAAATATGATATGATTGGAGATAAGAATTTAAAAACCAACTGAAATGGAAAGAACTAACTTATAAGGAAACATTAAAAATATTAAATCCATAGGTTAGAGCTAAATAATGACTAATAGGTTGAAGAAATGTAGTGGAGAGGGAAGAAAAAGGAGGCGGTGCTGATGATAATCTGAAAGTAATTGAAGGGTAGCAGGAGAAGCTGGATTTTTGAGAAGTGATCTAAGAGGTAACTAAAAGTAATGGATAAAATTAGGTAAAGGAAAATGTATCTAATACAAGGAGAAAACTTCCTATCATGACATCTGTGATATTTCCTTAAAATGAAGTAGGGCCTGCTTCATTCTTCAAGTTTTTTGTTTTTAGATATCTGGGAAGATCACTTGAGAACCATCTTGACTGATGACACTGTCTGTCTGTCTGTCTATCCATTAATCCTTCTATCTGTATATTTTTCCCCATTTCTAATCTGGTACTGTATTATTTGTATATCGTTTCTTTTATAATCTAAGATTGTAGTATATGGTTTAAAAAATGTGCTTGAAACTAGGTGCAGGTATAGCTTAAGCTAGTTTTTAATCTAAGAAACATGCAGCCAATCTGCTTTTTATGACTAATAATGCAATTAAATAATGTTTAATACAAATAGATCTGAGTAAAATAAATAAGCCATAACGTGGGAGGCTTAGTTAGCCACTACCAGAAAAGGCAGGTAAAATCAACATCAAGTGGTAAAGAACCTCACCCTAGAGGGGCATCCAAGTGCTGACCCCTCCTCAGAAAGGTCCTGCCTTGAAAGGTCTGCTCCGTAACCTGAAGCTTTAAGAATTCGCTCAGCCTGTGGGGCAGAGTTAGTGCAATCCTGAATATGCTTACTCCATTTTACGTCACAAGTACCATGATCAGGGAGACATAGTTTCATGGTATAGACATAAATCTCTCTTTTAATGTTAAAAACTCTCTCTTTAGAGGGGGTTGGTTTGTGGACAGTGTATGCCAACAATGTAGCTCATCCTGCCCTGGCTCCCACATACCTTCAACTGCTAAAAGGAGAAGCTCATGGTAGAAACCTCCTGATGTTGGGGGATGCTAAAGTTCAATTCCCCTTGTGTACCCTTGAGATGGTACTTTATGCTGCAGTGGGACATGTTGCTATCTAGCCTCTGAGTAACAATTTCTAAGAAGAGAGGAGGCATGTGGGCTGACCTCTATAGTAACTATAGATGGAGAGCTAAATTTTCATACAGAAAGGCTGAGCTGACTTAACTCCAAGGTAAAATTTCCTTTGTAAACTAAAATGCAAATAAATAGCTAGTTTATTTATTTATTAAGCATATAGATTTCTTTTCTTTGCAGCATGTCATTCTGAATCAAGAGTGTTTGTCGTATGTGTATATAAATGTGATATCTAATTTAGAGTATTCAGAACTTGATGCATATATATCCAGTGTCCAACAATTTGAAATTGATTTGGAGAATTAAAATAACAACCAATAGGTTATGTGGAAACTTAATTCCAACATAAATCAGATATACTAAAATATCTGTTTTATTCAGATATTCTATTTTCTATTATATGATTTCTGAAAATAATTTTTTACAAAATTACATGGTCAGTTTCAGGAATACAGTTCATTATATAAAGAATTGTAAGTGAGCTCTTTATCTTGGGAACTAGTTGAGATCATAGTGTTGGATGGAGGAGAGAAAAAGAATACAAACAGAATGTTTTGTTTTACAGTAGCTGCTGGCATGGGGAGGAAAGGGTGAAGATTGCATAAAGATCAGTCACCTGCCAGTCACCTGTGAACACTGCTTTCATGAGTGCTTTGGAGATGCTTATAAACCATTCATCCCCACTCATCCAGTTGTAACAGGAATGTCTTTGGCATATTGGTCTTAAATGGTGATTTCTTTCTTCTCTGTGTTCTCATTTATTCTCAACCCAATACAGAAGATGGGAGAAGGTATCATACCTAGAAGACTTAAGTAACTATCCTTAGAGGTTAAGATATTAACTAGATTAAATGATAAAGCCAGAGGTGAAATTCAGGCCTTCCAACCCCTCAGCTCCTAGAACGTACCCTTTTGCAGCTATCCCCACCTGATCTGCAATACACACATCCTAAAAGACCTTTAAAGAAACTGATGTTACTTTTTGCTTCGTGTTTATTTTTCCTAAATCTGAATATCACTTCAATCTGTGATTTTTTGTAGTTATCCTTTTAGTGTACCCCTGGTGGTGCACTGCTTAAGAGCTCAGCTGCTAACCAGAAGGTCAGCGTTTCGAATTCACCACCTGCTCCTTGAAAACCCCCTGTCCTATAGGATCACTATGAGTCAGAATCAAATCGATGGCAACAGGTTTTAGATTCTTTCAGTAGTTGATATTATGCAAGGTTATATTGTATGGTAATTAAGAATGTTGATCCTTGAGTCAAATGGTCAGGGTTCAGATTCCAGCTCTGCCACCAACTAGCTAAGTAGCGTTAAGCAAATCTCTTAACCTCTCAATGGCTCAGTTTTCTCGTAGATAAAACGAGGATAATAATGGAGTATGCCTCATAATAGGATTTAAGGAGTATTGTGAGCTTGACTGTGAAGCCCTGGTGGTGCAGTGGTTAAAAGCTCGACTGGTAACCGAAAGTTTGATGGTTTGAACCCACCAGCCTCTCTGCGGGAGAAAGATGTGGCAGTGTGCTTCCGTAAAGATTTATACCCTTGTATAGGTATAGAACTTTCAAATGGAGAGGAAGTCAAGGTGATAACAAGTAATAAAAAACTAGTTTAAACTTAGGAAGATAGGGGTAAATTTCAAGATAACCACAAAGAAAGTTAACAAACCTATTCTTCAAAATAAAGAAGAAAAAGGTGAAGTCTCAGTAAACAAAGTCTACAAAAAGGAAAGAAAGAAAAAAAAAATCCACAAACAAAAGGAATTCAGCACAGAAGAGTAAGAGGAACAAAGAAAATGTCAGCACCACAAAAAAAAAAAAAAAAAACACTACAAAATGACAGCAGTAAACTCACACCTATGAATAATCACACTGAACGTGAATGGCTTAAATGCACCATAAAGAGAGAGTGATAGAATGGATAAAAAAAAAAAGGACCCATCAATATGCTGTCTGCAAGAGACACACCTTAGAAACAAAGAGATCAATATATTAAAAATTAAAGGATGGAAAAAATGTATCAAGCAAACAGCAACCAAAAAAGAGCAGGAGTGACAATACTAATCTCAATAAAATAGACTTTAAAACAAAATCCACCATAAAAGACAGGGAAGGACATTACATAATGATTAAAGGGACAATCCACCATGAAGACATAACCGTAATAAATATCTACGCACCCAATGACAGGGTTCCAAAATACATAAAACAAACTCTAACAGCACTGGAGAGAGAAACTGAAAGTTCCACATTAATACTAGGAGACTTCAACACACCACTGTTGGTAAAGGACAGAACATCTAGAAAGAAACTCAACAAAGGTACAAAAGATCTAAA